GTCTCAAGAGCATAACTGCTGCTCTGTCTCAAAGATCTCCAGAGCATAATTGCTGCTCTATCTGAAAATCTCAAATGGCAACGGACTGGCGCTAGCGACTAAAAACATTTAAAACGACTTCACTTTCGTGAAGGTGAGTTACTTCTTAAAAAGACCTTGATTCTTAAACCTTAACAACTTATACTCTTAAAATCTCAAAGTAGGAAATAACCATTCACTTCAAGTCATAACTCAAACAAGGAACATATCACGAACCATAACCAGGCAATCTCAAACATGAATAAAATACTGCACATACATCACGTAAAGCAAATACTCGAAAATACTCAAGGCAATTACTTGAAATATCGTAAGGCGTAGAATTTACCCCCTTTACACTCACCTTATTATCCAAGCCGATTGACTTGATTCAAAATCCACACTAACTGCTCAATAATTAGACCCAAGGTTTTCACCCTTATTTGACACGTCCAAGCAAGGTTGCCTCTAATCAGAGCTCCTTTCTCGTCGACGATGTTTGTCTCCCAAAGCCATAGCGCCCATTACGTAAACATATATGTAACCTCATCAATAAGTGTATCCATGCCACCATATTCGGTACACGCTCTCAACCGCGAAACATGGCAGCACAAATGTGTCGAGAAGCCTCCTTGATCTCTTGAGCTGCTGCTGGTATCCTCATCGAATCTGGGGCTCTCATCATCCAACTTGTCCAGAAACAGAAACTTCCCTAACCCATAATTGCGAGACCAATAAGACAGGCAGAGGAAAGAATGATAGAACAAACAGATAGTGACAGCTGCACCACGGAGTCGCAAGGCCGCTGATGCTCTTGAGTCTTGATCACAATCAGTGCATAAAAGGAGAAAGTGGGGGACGATCGGGTTGACAATGGTGATGAATTGGAAAGTAGATTCTGATGGAAATCTGACAGTTTTAGCTTGCATTTTAGGTACTCTCGAAGACTCCCTCTTCTTTTATTATTTGAGAGAAAGCAAGTAGGCGGTGGTGTTTGTTTGCTAGGGGATTAGGGTTTGTTTGCTGCTGGTATCCCCGTTTTTTTAAATAATAATAATAATATAGTAATTATAGTTGTTGTTATTATTATTATTCCCAATCCGCGGTTGCAATCCTTAGTACGTAACCGTTAATCCAACCATTCACGTATCATGGTCGAACCTGAAACCCAAAGGTCGGGGTGTCACATTTCCTCCACCCTTATAAAAATTTTGTCCTCGAAATTTGCTCGGAACTAATCCTTCTATCAACACCCTTCTTATCATAACAACTTCGTTGGTAACCTTTGATCATATACATTTCTTTACCTTGTAGTGCTCGTATAACCTTGAGTGACTCACTTTCCTTATCGTTTCACAACTTGACTCAAAAGTGATGAAACAAAATGCTGATTTGGCAGGCCATGTTGACCAATTCTCCTGGTAGTTGTTGTTGAACCCCAGTCCAGAATCGAGATATCACATTTCCCTCCTCCTTAAGAAAAATTTCGACCTCAAAATTTGTTCATCTTGACAACCCAAAGTCTCACTTGAGGTAATCCTTCCACTACAGGGATTTATACTTCATTTACCTTATACAACCTGGAGCTATAAACCCTTTCCTCCAATTCGTGTGGTCCTTCGCCAACTAATTACTCGCCCACTTTTCATAAACCTCTTGCTCAAGCTAGTTACTTGCTCAATGCGTCTATGACACTCTCCCTTCTTAAATACCTCTAATGGTTTAATGGCATTCGTAGCTCTTGTTGTTCTCCACGATTTATCTTGGGTCTCTACTTAGGATTCCTTAAGAACTTAAGGAAATAAATTATTAGCCAGCTATTTAGGTCGTGACTCGTCGTAACTTCAGCTCATAACAGGCCCAGACCTTGAACTTCGTCCTCCCTATCTTGACTGTTGACATCTCCATTTGATTTCCCTAACATCGATGTCCGTAGCGAATGCGTGGCTTGGTTAATGGCTTACTCATAGGTCGCTCCCTGGGTATTGCTTCCCCCCCCCCCTATGTAGACCTCATTATTACCTTGCTTGGTAGCTCCCCTTGATGCACCACTTGATGCGTGATTCACCATATATGGTTCCTTTAGCATGGGTCAATCCCTACACACCTTTATTGATATCCGTAATACTCCTTTTTAATCCTAAAGTTACTGATGGCGGTTTAACCTCCTTCTGGTTAGATCATAAAACTCTTATAACGTAACCCTCGTCTAGGGTTGACCTCATAGGTCACCTAGGTCCTTGTATCTCCTAACTTTGCATCCCTTACTTTCTTCCTTGATTCTTCGTCTCTCCCTTTAGCCACCGACTGAATGGTCATCTCCTCGTTACATGCTGCTTAGTGTTGGAACCTCATACTACTGTTTCTACTTCCTGTATGCATTAGAGGCATCCTTTGCGTCTTTTTTCTAGCTTGCGATCAACTTTATGAATCATTTCAAGAATCATGACCTTCCATTTTGCGTACTTGCTCACTCCTGGCACCTAACTTAACATTGCCTTATCATCGTTTGACTTGGTAGTTCTCGTACGATCTCCTCTATTGTTCTTTGACCTTGCCTGGAATTCCTCGTACAGTCTCCCCGTCCAAGAAATTTTCATCCGAGAGATCGCCATATCTCACCCTCATGGGTGGTATTGCTTTCACTTTAGGGTATCCTAGCAGGTTCGCTAAACTCATATCCATCTTACTTCTTTACTCGTGCCTCCTCTTAGCGATGTTTCTCGCTAGTTCTATATGTCCCTCATCCTCGATGTAGTCATCTTGGTGCCCATATTCTCTTCTCACTTATGTACCTTGCCCGATAAGGTTTTCCCTTCGACCGTTCTCAACCACCACACTTCTACTTTAAAGTTGACCATTGAGCTTCTCACTTCTTGATGGGCTTCCTATGGTCCAACTTATTCTCCACTGGCAATCACCTTAGCGCCTCCTTATTGACCTTCGTATTCTTTCGCCAGCTCTTCCTAACTATCTTCCTCCCTGAATTTGTCGTTTTATCAACTACCACAATTTTCACCATAACTTTCATTATAGCCTTGTGGTTTCCTCCTTACTTCCACAACTCCTTCATCGATGCTTGGTACTAGCTTTGATCTACTCAGTTTAGTAGCTCCTCGCCATACCTCCGCGCCAACATTTCCACTAGAAACCTTCTCTAGGTAGACTTGCTAGATGACACCCACGACTTCTACTCACGATGGTGCTTGACCACGTCCCAACTATCTTCCTTCACGCATTCATTGTCCGGTCGACAACCACCTTTTTTATTTCCTATAGCGTCCTATGGTGTCCTCCTTGCTTCTTTACTTTTATTGACCTTCTATTGTTGCTTCGTACTGTTTTCGGTCACCAAACTCTGTTGAGTATCTTCTCATTGTTGTTTTGGGTCAAAGCTTCCACTAGTGGCTTGCCCTTGGTAACCTTTAACATAACTCATTCCATGTCTCTTTTGCTGATCGATCTTGTACATAGCCTTAATCTCTTAGTCATGGCTCTTAGTGGCTTAACTAAATATCACTAATTTATCCTTAACTGGCCTTCTGTTATGTTTGACATCCTACTATGTCGTACTCGCTTAGAGTGGGGCACCTTGGATAAGGTAACTTATCTTTTTCCTCCTTCTCGGTAATGCTTTCCCTCATCGTACCTCTTTGTGCAGCTTCTTGACCTCGAGTCACCTGAGACTTGACCCTTTGACTTCTTGAAATCTTGTGAAACTCCCTCTGGTCTTTTTGCTCTTCCTTGGTATTGTTCGCAAACTCTATTCATTACAACCGTCTAGACCCTTCCTCGAATTCCCCAACTTTCATTAGAACTTCTAATGAACGTTGTACTTGCTTGTCTATAACCGGTTGATTGAATGATTTACTCCTACGGCTGGTTCCGAGACTCCCGCTCTTGGCTCTCTAGTTCCCACTTTATAATTTCCCAACGGATTCCTTGAAATTCCACGATTTTCTGATTCTCCTTGATCATGGTAATTTGCAGGGTCTCTCAACCCCTCCTCATACCTTGTCCTCTAGCTTGTGCTTGACAGGTGTATACCATGCCTGATCTAACCTCAACCTCCCCATCATTCATCTCGTTGCTTGTCTTATTCCTTTTAAAGGTTTGCTATCATCCTAACTCCCCAGGGTCATGTACTCTCTCCTCTAGTGACGTAGTTCATCTATAAGGGTTCCTTTATCATTATATGTAAACGACCATACCTCCTCTCCGCCTTGACCCTTTTGACTTCTTGACGTCCTTTCATACTCCCTGTAACCTACTTATTTCCTCCTTCGCTTCCTTTATACTACCCTAGCATTTCTTAAAGTGTAAACATTCCTCTGCACCTTGTCACTGTGTTGTAATAGCATCGAGCCGTCGACCACTAAAACTAATTGAGGGACTTCTCGTTGTACCTCTTCGTTTCTTGACTGGTGGCCTCCTCGCCACTGCTTAGGGTCGAGGACTATGAAATCCTCCCCTTATTATAGCTACTGACATCTAGTGACTGTAGTTCATTCTTCGGAGATTCATAGTTCTCCTATTTGTCTGTCTTAACTTATTAGATTCTCCACATGCCTCATAGTAGTAAAATCCTCGTACTACTCCCTCAACTCCTTCAAAATCCTCGAGGTATTTCATTACGATTGGCACCGCTTTGCTAGTGTTTAGAGTTGATGTCCTTGGACATTTGATTATACCTCCATAGGCCTTCTTAAAACGTTCCTCCTTTCTTTTCCTCGTATCTTGAGATTCTAATAGAGTTGGCCACATTTCTTGCTTCCCTCCTCTCATACTGATGATCGCCATACGCCTCAATCTCTTATTTGACGTCCCACGACGAGTTAACTTAACTCGCGTCCTAGCTTATTCTTAAACCAAATGTACCCTCGTGCTACCTTCTCGTAGTGTCGTGTTGTAATAGTTATTCACCTTACTATGATTAGAGTAGACTGGAGATTCTATAAACTCTTAAAAGAAGATCCTTGACTCGTTTTCCTTTTCTTTAAAACAAAAGCCTTTAAAACTGAGACCGATATTCCAGTATTCCTTGGAGACCAAGGAACAGAGGAAGACTGGCTCTGATACCAAAATGAAACACCCTAACCCGGCCGGGTACTACTTTTACTAAAATGCCCTTGATAAATAAAATACTCAAATCTTAAATTTCAACTAGGAAACAATTTTCATAAATAAAATACTGAAAACACACACTTGTAGCTCAGAGCCAAGCCCTAACACTTGGGCAAATTAAACTCAAACTTTAAAATCTCAATCTGATCTCAAAATAATCTCCAGTCTGTACTCATAATCATAAATGTAATTAACTAATAAACTCTGGAGTTGTTGCTACTGAAAACCTTGACTAAGCATCCTCGGTGACGCTTATACTGCTCTCCTCTAGCTGGCTGCCCTCGAACTCGCTGCCCACTAAATGTTCCTCTAGCTCTTCAAACTGGTGAGTGAGATGGGGTCAGTCTACGCCCTTACGCTTAACATCTTATTAATGCTTGATCACTTTACATAACTAAGTGGAAGTTGTTTGGTATTTCCACTATTAAAAAGCTTAACTCTTAAAACTGTATGGGAGTTACTGTTACTCCATTCTTAAATCTCAAAGCTTGACTTAAATACCTGACCAACATTGGGATCCCTCACTAGCTAGTCCGGTTGCCTACTCATACGTATGAGAAGCCATCACGGCTTTCCTTAAACTTAGTTAGGGAAGTCGTAACGATTCATCCCCCTAACATCTTAAACTTATCGTGGTGGCTCTTCACCACGATTCTCAAGAGCATAACTGCTGCTCATCTTAAAAGTCTCAAGAGCATAACGGCTGCTGTCTCAAAGATCTCCAGAGCATAACTGCTGCTCTATCTGAAAATCTCAAATGGCAACGGACTGGCGCTAGCGACTAAAAACACTTAAAACGACTTCACCTTCTTGAAGGTGAGTTACTTCTTAAAAAGACCTTGATTCTTAAACCTTAACAACTTATACTCTTAAAATTTCAAAGTAGGAAATAACCATTCACTTCAAGTCATAACTCAAACAAGGCACATATCATTAACCATAACCAGACAATCTCAAACATGAATCAAATACTGCACATACATCACGTAAAGCAAATACTCGAAAATACTCAAGGCAATTACTTGAAAAATCGTAAGGCGTAGAATTTACCCCCTTTACACTCACCTTATTATCCAAGCCGATTGACTTGAATCAAAATCCACACTAACTGCTCGATAGTTAGACCTAAGGTTTTCACCCTTATTTGACACGTCCAAGCAAGGTTGCCTCAAATCAGAGCTCCTTTCTCGTCGACGATGTTTGTCTCCCAAAGCCATAGCGCCCATTACGTAAACATATATGTACCCTGATCAATAAGTGTATCCATGCCACCATATTCGGTACACGCTCTCAACCGCGAAACATGGCAGCACAAATGTGCCGAGAAGCCTCCTTGATCTCTTGAGCTGCTGCTGGTATCCTCGTCGAATCCGGGGCTCTCATCATCCAACTTGTCCAGAAACGGAAACTTCCTGAACCCATACTTGCGAGACCAATAAGACAGGAAGAGGAAAGGATGATAGAACAAACACATAGTGACAGCTGCACCACAGAGTCGCAAGGCCGCTGATGCTCTTGATCACAATTAGCACATAAAAGGAGAAAGTGGGAGACGATCGGGTTGACAATGGCGATGAATCGGAAATTAGATTCAGATGGAAATCTGACAGTTTTAGCTTGCATTTTGGGTACTCTTGGAGACTCCCTCTTCTTTTATTATTTGAGAGAAATCAAGTAGGCGGTGGGGTTTGTTTGCTAGGGGATTAGGGTTTGTTTGCTGCTGGTATCCCCGTTTTTTTAAATAATAATAATATAGTAATTATAGTTATTATTATTATTATTCCTAATCTGCGGTTGCAATCCTTAGTACGTAACCGTTAATCCAACCGTTCACGTATCATGGTCGAACCTGAAACCCAAAGGTACTGATGTTGATTATGAATGAAATATCCTCAAATCTGGGTTCGAAATGGGAGAACTGCATGGAGATGAGTTGGGCAAAATCGGTCCTATAATTCATCGGATTCTCACTTGACGCCCGCGCTGGATTGCCTGATGGACATGACGGTTTCCGCCGATGAGGCTACAAAGAGAGTAACGGAGATATGATTCTATGATGATTCCTACAAAAAGCTCAGATTCCGACGTTGTCGTAAGGAGGAATAGCGGCGGTCGCATAATTTTTGGGAGATTGACCGGCTGCGCAACAGAGGAAGGATAATCGAGAGTCGAGAAAATGAGAACTAGGTGGAGGGTTTATGGTACTAGTATCAGAGCAAGATGATGTCCAGAGACGTTTATGGTAAGGTGGGTTGCTATTATTTTTATAATTTTGAGTTTTTCTCCAGTGAATATAAGTAGATATATCTATTCAATTGATATTATTTTCTACAAAGTGTAATTACATTGGTTCACGAATCACACAAACTTTAAATTGTAGGAGCCAATTGTCAAAACATTGTATATATATATATATTATAAAAAATAATCTATTAATTAAAATAATATAATATTGACGCTCTGTTTACGCTTTTAATATTGAATTCTTCATAAACTGACGCTCCGGCGCTCTCGTTCCCGCTCTTACTCTCGCTCCCGCTCCACGCTCTGGTTACCTAAGTTTTGGGGGATCTTCTACGTACAAGGAGTATGGAATATCGACCAAATCAAAGGACGTCGTGGAGTGCACAATGGAAAGATGTTCTTGAAGTTTATTCATTGATTACATTACTTAAGTTCGACCTAAATTCAAAAGTCAATCGACCAGGAAGAAAGCTAAGTGTAAATGGGGTAAATTCAATGCCTTACCATTAAATAAGTTAAATAAGTTAAGGTGAAGAGAGTAAGAGAAAGTAATAAGTAAGAACTAGATAAGTAATCTCGCTTAGCTAGCCAGGTTCATGAGAGATCACTACTGGATAGCAATACGTAACGCAGTAGTTTCTCGGACATGGAACTGTACGATGATTCGTAATGCAGTTTCCATTGCCAAGTTTTAGTTATTCAACCGGATGGCGATACATAACGCGGTTGACATACATTAGTTTTGACACCAGACGGCGATACGTAAAGTAGTACTCAAAACTCCAGTTTAATGGGCACTCCATTGTGAGGGTAGCCATGGTTAAGTAAGTAAGGCAAGTAGTGGAGCCAACTAAGTCAAGGTAAGGACCCCGTTATAAGATAAAGGTTGTAAGGTATTTAAGAAAGAGTATTAAGTTACGTAAGTTTTTGAGTGTGGCGAGTAATTCTAACTCACACGTACTTACGAAGTAAAGTTTAAAGAGTGTAAGTAAGAACAACTTCCACCCGTTTAAGTTGAGTATCTTAAGTAAAGCTCTCAATCACTAGAGATTTTCAAACATAAGGCCGTAGACTGACCTCAACTCACTCGCCAGTTTGAAGGGCAAGAGGAGGAGCTAGAGGAACAGTTCGAGAGAAAGCGTTTAACGACAGCTAGCTAGAGGAGGGCAATACAAGTGTCACGAAGGATGCCTAGTGAAGGCTTTTAGTAAGCAGCGTTAGAGACCAGTTAGTTATTGCTTTTTATGATTATGAGTATAGACTGGAGATCATGTTTAAATTTTAAGGATTGAGTTTTCTCAAGTTTTAGGGCGTTGCTTTGAACTACAAGAATGTGATTTCAATATTTTATTTATGAAAAAAATTTCCCACAGTTTTTAGTGTTTATGGTTCCACCGAGAATGGTCTCTCGGCCGACCGGATTAAGTTCGGAGGGTTTGGGTTGCAATCCTTAGTCGGCTAGTTGAGAGGTTTATGTTTCCTAGCCTATCGTTGTCACCTTTAGCCGAAGGTTTAAGTGAGTTCGCTTTCTAAATTGTTGCAACGACTCTCAATTATCTAACTAAGAGAGTTAGGGATCTCCTTGGTTGATCAGTAAAGAGGGCTAGTCTCTCTAGCTATGAATCACAATCTTTGACCTAATGGTTAAGAGAGCTAGTTCCCCTAGCTTATATTTGTTGATTTTCCTTCATTGATTGACTAAGGGAGTTTGTCCCTAGCTAGTTGTGCCCACCTCGTGGTGTATGAGCACGCCCTTCACACGGGAGCTCGGTTTGTTGCTTCTTAGCATGAGACTAGGGGGAGCAATACTCAGGTAAAGTCCCCTCAAGTAGAATTCTCCTTGATTTCCTTTCCTGGTCTGTTCATTTTGTAGTTTTCTTAGTTTTAAACCCAAAAATAAACGTTTGCTAGATAACAACTTAAGCGATTGTAGTAGGGGTACATGATCGGCCCGGGTTGACAATTTAAATACTTGCTCTATACTGCACCCGACTAGAGTTTAAAAAAAATATGGGCTCTAGTCGGGATTAATTTGTGGTGTAGTTACTCTAGCATTTTCTATCTTGCCTTTTTGTTTGTGTTTGTATTTTGTGTTTCATGTGTGTTTTGTTTACCACTCTTCGTTTTAAAGGGTGGTTTGTGTGTGTTTTGTTTTCCTTTTTAGTGTTTTTGTGATTGTAGGCATCGGATCATGGATCCTTACAATTTCACCCATGTATAGGGGTATCCACCACCACCACCCAAGAGTGGTTACCCCCAGAACTTCATGGGATGATCATGAAGGGGGAAGTCAAGGGATCGGATTCTACTACCAACCTCCCCTCCAAGACGAGAAACCATGCTCATGGGGATACCAAGAAGCTTTCCCTTATCAAGAAGGTTTCCCTCCACAACTCGAGGTGAAATCCAAGTTGGAGTTGGGCATGGAGGCTTACATGGGAGAAACCTCAAGAACATGTGAAACTCCACAACCTGAGCCAAAGAGCAAATTAGAGCTCATGGAGGAGCAATTTTCCCGGGGCACCAATAAAGGGTGCTCTAGCATAGACCTCCCAAGTGCCAACCATTTCATCTCAACCTTTCTTCAGGAATCAGAGGAGCTCCTTCGACGCACGGAGATGCTAGGAGGGCTTGTAGAGAAAGCATATGCACAACTTGCTCACAATCGCCTCCTACCATCGAAAGAAAGAGAGGAGGTCGAATAGGCGAGCCATGAGAATTTTGGAAGAATGAGCTCCGACATGGATTTCCAACCCGTCCCTCCTCCCGGATTGACACTAGAAGATAAGGTGGCACAATCTTGTGCAAGCTATCACCTTTTGACATGCTATGACACAACACAAAACTACGACCAAGTGTAATCGTATAATGGAAATGCAGTATAGTGGAATCAAGTAATAAATGTCAACCTAGGTCCTAGGTGTACTGCCTACTTCGTGATTATCTATTATCTAGCGGGACTAAGTGAATGTAGGTGAGTTCAAAGTAAAGCGGAAAGAAAGCCGTAAATTGTCCGGTTTCTTGAAGCAAGAGAAGAGTCACTTGGGAATGAGTCCCCTAGCTCCTTAGTTAGGTCCAAGTTGTAATTTCCTTTGGTTGATTTATTATTTAAACTGCGGAAGATCCGACAGTAGCTTGGAATCTCTTAAGCTGACCAAGCCCTCTTAGACAGACTAACCGCCAGACGACTAGTCTTCACCAAGATAGAAAGCTAAGGCAATTAACACAGAACTCCACTACCGGATTTGGATTCCAGTACAAATAAGTGAATCAACTAACTCTCGTGTAATCAATTCCCTACTAGAGATTGAAGAAGCTCTAATAACCTATTCAGATTCTATCTATCACAGGTTGAAGCAGAAATCAAAATAAGTTGATTAGAATTCAATTAACTCAATAAACACACCTCAATCGATTATAATCAAATAGGATATCAATCCAACAGTCATTACAACTCAAATCCCTAACACATGGAATTAGGGTTCTTCATACCCAAGTGAGAGAAAGGTCTGCTCCATAGAGAGAGAAAGAGAGAGAGTGAGAGAGAGAGAGAGAGAGGAAAACAGAAATCAAAACAGTCATACTCTTAAAGATGGGAATAATCTGCTCTGGGATATCAACCTTCACTCCTGGGGATGCAATTTGGGCTTCAGTGGCGAGAAATCCACTCCTAATAGCTCCTAGGGTTTGTTCTTCGCACTTTCTCTCTTTATAACTCTGTTTTTGCTCCAAAAAGTCGAATCCATCTCCAAAACCCGAAATTGGGTTAAAATGCAGCTGCCCACGATTGCGCAGCCAGACCGCACAGCCGTGCAACCTCCTTGGCTGCCCGTGCACCCCGAAACACGCCATTTGAATTAGTTCCGCCAGGGAAGTGCACAGCCATTGCACGGCTCGTGCAAACCGAGAGCGTGGCCGTGAAGCTCTCTCGCAGAATTCATCACGGCCTAAAATTCATTATGCACGGCCGTGCGAAAACAGGGTCAGGTCGTGCGAAGTCTCGGTAAATCCCACACGCCCAAAAGGTCACTTGCACGGCCTGTACCGCCTTGCCCGCGCAAAAGGTTGATGCAGGGCCACCATGCACGATCGTGCGCTTTCCCGTACGGGCCGTACAACTCGTCTGCTCTCCATCGCTTGTCCCGTCTTCGCCCAGTCGACCCCAAACTCGTGCTCAAACCTTCATTCACACATTTGGACCTGAAATGTCATAAACAAGTACAACCTAGTGTAAAATCGGCTTAAAATCCGAGATCCGAGCCTCAAACTGTATAAGAATGGTAGACAAAAACATGTGTAAATATCGAGTCATCAAATTCCCCACACTTAACTGTTTGTTTGTCCCCAAGCAAACCTGACTCAAACCAATGCAGCTCTCCAAACTTTTATAGCAACATGAAACCCCGATCGTCGGTAGAGGATTTCCTAGATCATTTAGCAACTTACGAGGTCAACTGGTCTTCTAAGACGTCCCCTATCTCTCTCAATGCGAGTACTAGACTCAAGCCAGGATCATGAGAAGCAGTGGAACTAAGACAGTCAATTCATGGATAAGCAGACTCACACAATTTAACGACCAAGGACTCTTTGTATCAGGTGCTCTTCCATTTCATCTCACTTGTTGGAACCCATTTTCCTTATTATTTGTTTCTTTCTATTTTGTTTTACTTTGTTGGGGGTTCCAACTGCATTTTTTATGCGCGGTTGGCCCTTATTAGGTGAGCAAGAGCAATTTCTGTAAATCTGTCGTTCGCCAGAGTACTTCTTTTAACTCCTATTCTTCACTTCGTGTGGACGGTCAATGAAATTAAGGGGGTCGGAAGCTCTATCCGTTCCCTTAAAAACACATCCTCGAGTAGGCAAACAGTTCAACGGGTGGAATTTTTACTTGTACTAGAGACGACTTAGCTTCACCTTGTAGGCCTACCCCACTAAGGATCATTAAAATCTCTTCCAAAATCTGATTTTGTGCAATGAACGGTGCCACACACGTTGGGCTTACCCCATGTTTTAAAATTTAAATTTTTTGATATGGAGGACCAACTGCTTTTTCATTTCACACTTGAGCACCCTTTTTCGATACACGAGTCCACAACACAACATAAGGAGAGTCATCAATACCACATAAATCAACGGTCCTAAATCCACTAGTTCACAAAATCAATTGGCACAGCAGAGAGACAGATAGGAAAAATCTTATACTTCAACATCCTCCATAGTGCTACAGCTACCTCCCTAGGTTGCATATCACCATAAAGACTGTCAATTCAAAGCATACTGAGCAGGTTATTGCAGAGAATAGTACTTGGAGCCCTCAATTCATCAAATTGGACAGTGGACTAGGATCCAAGCACACAGACTCATCTATGCAGCCAACAATAAACACCATAATTCCCCCACACTTAAGCACGACATTGACCTCAATGGAGAAGAGGGAAAGATAAGGGGAACGATGTTACCGGGAAAATGGATTGTCGAGGGATTGGAAATGGGACTAATCATCATGGACAGACTGTAAGGTGGACCAGTGGAAAGACACCAAGCTAGAGTCATCAAAACACACTGGGTGATAGAAACTGATAGACCGTTAATTGCACATGTTTTTACCCCTATTCTTGAGCAGTTTGAGATGTTGATTCTCGTGTTTTAGGCCGATTTCACTCTAGGTTGTTCTTGTTTGTGATATTTCAAGTCCTAGTACATGAATGAAGGTTTGGGAGCGAGTTCGGGGTCGATTGGACGAAGATCGGACGTGTGGCGAGACGCTAAGGAAGCCACACGGGCACTCATAAAACTCACACGGCCGTGTACTGAACCCATGTGGCCGTGTAGGTAGCGTGAAGACCGCTTAATCGAAACACCGCGTTTTGACACTCACACGGGCAGCTGGGTAAGCCACACGGCTGTGTGGCTTGCCCGTGTGAGTCGGGAATTCTGGGTTTTAACCCAATCTCGAGCCACAAGTGAGGGGATCGACTTTTCAGAGCAAAAACAGAGTTTTAGAGAGATAAAGGGTGAAGAACAAATCCTAGGAGCTATTTGGAGTGGATTTCTCACCATTGAAGCCCATATTGCGTCCCCAAGAGTGAAGATTGACATCCCAGAGTAGATTTTCCTCATCTTTATGAGTATGGCTACTCTGATTTCTGTTTTCCTCTCTCTCTCTCTCTATGGAGTAGAACCCTCTCTCACTTGGGTATGAAGAACCCTAGTTCCATGTGTTAGGGATCATGATTGTAATGACTTGGGATTGCTGTACTATTTGGTTTTAATCGAATGATGCATGATTCATTGAATTAATTGAAGTCTGATCAGCTTTTCTTGATTTCTGTTGCAACCTGAGATAGATAGAATCTGATTAGGTTGTTAGAGCTTCATCATTCTGTAGTAGTAGATTGGCTATACGAGAGTTAGTCAGTCTACGCTTTGTACTGGAATCCAATTCCAGTATTGGAGTTTTGTGCTTATTGCTTTAGCTTTCTATCCCGGTGAAGACTAGTCGTCTGCCGGGTAGTTAGACTGAGAGGGCTTGGTCAGCTTAAGAGATTCCAAGCTACTGTCGGATCTTCCTCAGTTTAATCAACAGTAAATCAACCCAGGGTAATTAAAACTGAGACCTAACTAAGGAGCTAGGGGGACTCATTCCCGAGTGACTCTTCCTTTGCTTTAGAAAACCGAATCATTTCCTGCTTTCTTACTGCTTTTAGTTAAAACAACAATCAATCGACTTAGTTTGCTAGGTTACAGATATACGCGGAGTAGGCAGTAGATCTAGACCCCGGGTTGATAATTAGAACTTGCCACTTTACTGCATTCCTGGACTGCGATTACACTTGGTCGCAGTTTGGTGTTGTGTTTTAGCATGTCAAGTTTTTGGCGCCGTTGCCGGGGAACCTCTAGGTTATTGGAGAAACGTGAAAATTTGTTACTCTAGCTTTTTCTTTACTTCATTTTCTCTCTTCCACCTATGTGCCTTCACGGGTTGCCTTTGCTGATTGTGTGCAGGTAGTGCATGACCCGTAGCCAGTCGGGAGATCTACTACCATTAGACCAAAAGCTTGAACGAACTTGCAGGAACTTCAAGCGGGCTCTAAAGGCGCGACTGGCTGCGGAGGAGGCGCTAGCACAGCTGCAAATCGCCAACGAAGACGAGATGGGTGATCCACAGGACCATGATGTGGTCCTTCCTGAGGAACAGACCATGAGATACTACTGGACCGCCAGGGCCGCGGACATGAGGTCGCCCATTCAACACCCTCATGTGTGAGCAAATAATTTTGAGGTTAGCACCTCAGTAATCACCATGCTGCGCGTTCAGTGGTATTTCGTGGCAAAGAGTGGGAGTGCCCCTGATCACATCTCAGGTGATTCCACGAGCTCATCGATGGAATCAAGATAAATGGGGTCCCAGCCGATGCCATCCAGCTGAGGTACTTCCCATTTAATCTGGAGGGGAAGGCCAAGGAGTGGCTAGACACTCGACCTCCAGGCTCTATCACCACGTTCGCTAACCTGGGGGACAAGTTCCTTACTCGCTACCATCCCCCGTCCAAGACGGTGGACCTGCAAAAGAAAATTACCCACTTTGCTCAGGATGAAGATGAGACCATCCGGGATGCATGGGAGAGATACACCAGTCTCTTCCTCAAGTGTCCCAACTATGGTTTTACTAACGCCTTCAAGGTGGACACCTTCTACCATGCCCTCTTCCCGGAAGACAAGCAGCTGATTGACTCAGTCTGTGGCGGGAATATACTCACCAAAACAACGCCACAATTGAATCAACTCTTTGAAGAGATGGCAGAGCAGGGCTATGACTGGGGAACTGTTAGGAGATCGAGACGAGCACCAGGACGGGGTGTGCATGCTGTATCCACCCAGTCATCTGATTTGGTGCAGGTGGTATCGAAGCTGGTTTCAGCCATCGATCGTTCCGGGATTATTGCAGGTACTAGACAACAGCAGGCGATGCTCTGCCAATGGTGTGAGAGTTCTCATCAGACCGTAGAGGATTG